AACCCAACTGGTTACGGAGCTGATGCAGATCATCGTCGAAGACTGAAGAGGTTTAAACTACTTAACCGATTTTAATAATTAATAAATCAATGTTTGCAAGTGCACAAATAATTATTGCCTATGTGAAGTGGAATTGCTGGATCATCTCTTCATTTAGTATTTAAGTGTCCTTTTTTTATTTTCTTTCACCACATTCATAAAGCTTAATATCTATGTCAGATGATATATTTCTTTATTAATAAATATATAAAATGAAGTAAATATTTCTTAAACTGAACTTATATTTAAACTATAAAGTTAATGAACCATTTTAATCGTCGATTAACATTTACTTTTCAGAATCAAAATGGTTGTTGTTGTTGTACAAAGATGATATAGTATATAAATAAATCTATGATTTACTTTAGATAAGAAACATTAATTAATAATTAGATTCATCATAACTAAAAAAATCTTTGTATCTTCTATAGTTTATTTATATTTTTAGTTAATTGATTAACAATGGTTATAATAGTTAATGTTTTTATTATTATATTAACAAAAAATGTATATTAAAAATAATTGAAAATACAATTTTATTTCTATTAAAATAACATTCATTGTTACATACATATACAGGGGGATTTCATTTTACTACATATTTCATAATAAACAAAATTTATCGGTGTTTTCGCCCATTTCCTATTGTTTTATATACTTTCATAATAATCCGTTGTCAATAGAGAGTGAACAAAATTCATTTGCAACGAAAACAATTTGTGGAAACAAACATTTTATTGTAATATTTATGAATAGCAGCAAATAAGTAAATACAATTGTTTTTGTATACTTTTCTTTTTTATTTATATTAAATTTAAAATTAGTGTAAATTGTTCTTGGTACAATATCTATTGGCTCAAAATGTGATACTAATTATTATTAGCCACTTTTTTGAGAAAATGTATTTAGCATGGGTCGATTACAATGAAAATTTACTGTATAATTAGTTGAAATATATCTTTAATTACAAATCAGGCAATTTTATTTATTCGCTTTAAAATTGATAAATGAGTTTGGTGATAAATCTCAAGAAAATACTTTGTGATTATTAGTTTCATTTTCATTCATAGCATTTTAATTTCGAGCTTATTTGAAATAATCAAAGTATATTTTAAGCCTATCTTTAATTGTTCGTAAATATTTTTATGGTATGTTTATATTAGTTTTTACTATTTTTATTGAATTGATTTGGTTTTGAACTGATTTTAAATTTGTATGTTGAACCTAATTTTCGGCGCCAAGTTAGTATTAATGTGTGGAGGCGGCGGATTAAATTGAAGTTTCTTGCGCATCGAAAATGGTGGCAGCAAAAAGTGGAATTTCTTACGCGGAGCTGAAGAGAAGACCGCTAAGGTTTTTGCTGTTACCGCTGTTATTGTTGTTGCGCTTGTATTCGCCTCCTCCTCCTCCCGGCGTGCGATTCTCGAAGTGATCTGGGGTGGCGGAGGCGGCGAATCGCCTGTAAAACAAAGACACGTCGCGGCGGTACGACGTATAATTTAGGCAAACGACCCCGAGATAAGGGTTACGTGTGTAAACTATGGCTAATCTAACTCAATAAACTTTATAGTGGCAGCGAATGGAGCCCCCGAGATAACGACAAGGTCGCTAATCCAGGTTACAGCCGCCATCCTCGTCCCACCCTCTCAATTCGACATGCCAAAAACCCTGCGACACAAATGCACACATATACACACATCACGCCGCCTCTCTCTCTCATCCTCAATCTTAACGTCATTTCATTATCATAAACAAAAGCGAAATGCCGACGCCTCCGGTCATTCCGGAAATAACTCGACCGTAACGACGAGTCGTCGTTTGTTCCGTTTCCGCTGCCCCCGGGAGTCAGTCGCCACCATTTTTGAGCTCCGCAACATTAAGCCGTTCGGCTTCATTTAATCGCGACACCATCGAGGGCAGCAAACTGCTCATCTCCGCTCTCTTTCGAAAAAGATAAATTCTCATATTCATAATGATGGGGAGGCTTACTTCACATTAATATGCAAGCGCAGGGAGCGAACGAAGGAGAATGGGAAAGGAAGGTGAAGAGATCGAGAGGTCGCAGCGACAGGTTTGGTCAGCTCGCATCTCGCCTGTATCGAGGGGATGGATACTGGCTTGACCCGTGGGAAATCAAGATGACCAGGAGATATGATAAATTCAGTCCGCTCCAGTCTGGTCCATGCAGCCACAGTCCGGTCCAGGCCCTTCAGGATCTCTCCTTACGCCGTTAATTCACTAAAAAAAGCTGGACTCGTTATTTTTGAATAAATTTTGTATGTCCTTAGTAATTTGCATAAACGAAATTAATATTTTACATCAAGAAATCTTATATCACTTTACACATAAATAAATAAATCATATGCATAAATACCGAAATACCGTCAATCAAATTCCCAACGTTCAAAATCCCGACAACCATAATCCCGGAATTTTGGGATTTCGATACAGTCGGGATTTCGAACGTCGGGATTTCAATAGACGGTGTTTCCGTTGTCGGGCTTGCGATATAGACCCACTGTGTTTTTTAGTCAATTATTTTGAAAATAATATAACATAAGTAAATATCAATATAAAATTTATAAAAAAAAAATGAACTAAAGGTGAAGAAAAACTATAAATACAAATTGTAAAGTTTCAACAAAAAAACAATATGGGAAAAGTTACTTCTGCAATATAAGGTAAATGCGTAAATGGATTAAATAATCTAATTTTTGATTCATGTTTTCAAGATTTATTCAAAATTGTCTTTTTCTTTTTTGAAGAAAGCTCACGTTGTTTCCCTACTTTAAATCACTAATAGAAATGATTATTTTTATTGAAATGGCAAAAGAAAAAATAATTACTTTTACACGAACAGAATTGTGTGTGTTTTTTTTTTTAACAAATAAATGTTAATTATGGATCTTTAATTGAAAATAATTGGGTATATTCCATTGCTTTTAATTAAGAAGATTAAAGTGCAAAGAAGGTCTGAATAAAGAGGAATTATCGAATCGGCGCCAAGCTCAGGGGAAAATTAAATTAAACTCGGATTTTCTTTCAGCGAGTGACAGAGCAAGACAGCGCGCACTTTAGCTGTCTCCCTCTGGCTTGTACTTCCTCCATTCTCGTGTCCGCACGTCTCTTTCTCCTCGATTCTCTTATGCTTCAGCCCCATGTAAATGTGTATGTGCATCTGTGTGTATGTGTTATATGGAAATTGGAAAGTCAATTACGAGGCTCGTTGCGCGAGCTTTTAAAATGTCTAGTTTTAAATTACTTTCATCCCCCACGGGGGGGTCGACTTTTTTAATCTAAATAAAAACTTTTACTACTGCTAAAGTTGCAACGCCCGCTCTCCTCCTTCGAAGCCGTCGCCGCCCCCGCAGCCGCCTCTTCCTCTTCGGAGCCACCGGACATCGCTGCCCGCCTACGTTATTTTCACTTCCGTAATTCAAAAACACAAACGCAACAACCTGAATACTCGACAAAATATGCGAATAATAAAAAGCAGTTTTCATTTACTTACTCACTATGAAACTAGAAAAGTGACTAATTTTCTGTATTAAACAAATGATAAACAGATTCAAAAAAATGCTCTACAACCAAATTTTTTATTGAAATATTTAATTATAAGACGCATTAAAACAACCACATCAAATGCACCACAATTTGTAATTATTTTTAAAATACGAACACTACCCCTTCATAACCTAAGGAACTAGACTGTATATGGAAATACCCATATCACTAAATTGTTTGTATGTATTTTTAAGTGAGTGGATATCGGCGTGCATTTAACGTTGTTGTTTTACTGCGCGCTTTTGACAACACGCTTTTGTCTTGCGCGATTTTGTCGGATTATCAATTTTAGTAAAGCTGGATGGTATTAAAAGAAATTAACTTAATTTTAATTCATAGAAAATTTAAATTGTATAAATTTTGTGTGGTTTTATATTATTATCGTATAATTATATTTTCGTTACATGCTTTTGAAATGCGAAAATTATCAGTGTTGAGCAGTTATTTTTTTATATTCTGAAATTCACAATGTTTAATAACGAAATAATAATTAATACTAAACTCATTCATTAAGCAAACTATTTGAAATCAGTTAATTAAAAGTATGTGGTAGTATTAAAGTAATTAAAACTGTAAGTAAAATTGAGCTCAAAGCTAAATAATATAATATAATAAATACATAGTTTTCATTATGTTACAAGTATACTTTTTTTTATTATATTTTAAATATTCTCATTTAATTTTGCATTACTTAAAATGATTAATTTCTATTTTTGGTAAATAATTTAATAATTGAACATTAATGTAAAATGTTTATTAAAGCAAAAAAAGACTATGTAATACTGAGAATTTTCAAAATTAATCTGCAGTTTCACGTGCGCCGAATTTGAAAGAAATTTCTGTTCTATTTCAATTCTTAAAAAAATACCCCAAAAAATACCCCAGAGAAGATCAGAACCAAGACTGTAAGGGTCTACCCTTCGTTCGCAGCGCCCTCTTCAATCCAGTAGATTATATAAACCTAGTCCTGCCGGTAATACAGATCATTGTCACTTCAGGGCGGATAAAAAAAATCAATCCTTGACCACTCCCTAATTTTTATCCACGATTAAACCGCCCCCCGAGCGGCGTGTATCCCGGAAGCTCGTTAGACTCGCCCCGCCCCTCGCGTTAATCCCTACGGTCGCTTCGCAAAAATCCGCCACCCTGTGGGTTGAATTCAAATAAAAAAAGAGAGAAAAAGCTCTAAAAATGAACGCAAAAAAAGAGAGATAGTAGAACAAAACAAGGGAAAAAGGGTGGAGCCCCGCGTGTCACCCGCACGTTGGATTTTTGCGTTGCGCAACGGCTATAAAAAAAAAACAACAACATAAAAATAGGGACGGAAAAAAAAGTTGGAAACAGAAATGAAGTTCGAAATAAAAATTGCAGTGAATAAAAATTATTTACTTTCGCTTTTCTAATAAATACAATGCAGTTATTAATGGATTGGCGCTCGGCATTTTTATAAATATGCGTTTCCGGTTTTTCAATTTTTTCTGTTTGTTTGTTTGTTTTTTTTTTGTCGGTCTCGTTTCCTCCTCGTTTCGAGATATGGGTCAGTTTTAATCTGCAACAGGAAATAACGGGTTGCAGAGAACGATGCAATTGGTAGTAAACTTTATATTTATTACTTTTTTTTTTTACCAAAACACATATTACGGTTCAAATTCACAATCAATCGACATAACGTTCCCTCAATGTCAATGTCATCGCCCTATGTGATACAGTGACGTGTCATGTCGATGTCGTAGGTCTTGTAAACGTTGACTGACAGCTTTGACAGATGACATAGGTATTTTATTAACAATCAGAGCGCTCGACGTGCCCAATCTAAACTATCCTCGGTGAATATGTTTATCCTAAAACCAAAGAAAACACAAGTTTTAGTACAAAATAAAAATACATTGCATTTACTACAAACACATAAATTCTAAGCAACGACAAATCCAGTCAGTAATATGAATTTTAACATTTTTTATATAACATCTACTTATATTTGAAAGAAATTCAAGAAGGTTAATTAAATTAATTAATTTCTATTGCACATCAATATTATACTTAAATTTACTTAAAAACCAATTACTTTCAAGAATTACAGTTTTTAATGCGAATTATATGTTTAAATCAAGCAAGAACAATAAATACAAAATTAAAAAATTGACATTTGTTTTAATCAGTACTTATATGATGTAATTTTAAAATTGTTATTTAAAAAAATTGAACTAAAGTTTATATAAATATTTATAATCAAGACAAGACTCGATAGCGAATTACTATTGTCTTGATGACTATATTACAGTAAATCTGTTTAGACAATATTTTTATATATCAGTCATATATAAATGTTATTTAAAATCACGAGTTTATTTATGAATATTTATCATCAATAAGTTATAAGAGGATAATTATAAAAGGGTACAAAATTTAGAACAATTTAAATTGGAACCTAAATGTTTATTTTGTGTAGCTTGAATTGCCCTAATGACATAATAGCTGTTATTTACAGAGAAATTCTCCAAGAGATACTCTTATAATTTTAGTTGTATTATTTTTGTTTTCAATCTATATATAAATATTATTTTTTGACTTTTACCTTTAATTAATGTATTTTACTCAATTTTGAGTTTTTAAAATGTCCCATATAATATGATTATTTAACAAAAGTAATTAAATTTTGTATGACAAGTATGACAATCTTACGTTTCAGTTATTGAGATCGTTTCTATTTAAGTTTAAATTTGCTTTATGATGCGATGTTTGTGGGCATATCGTTTAATTGGTCAAACTAATTGTATTTGTGGCGTTTAAATAGAGCGAGGCGGAGAGAGATGGATGTGTGTAAATGAAAGAGAGAAAGAGAGAGAGAGAGATATGTAGCTTTGTTATCCGGGTGAAATCCTAAACACCGCTCTGCTTCCCTCTAAACACATATCCACGTATATTATATCAACAAAAACACATAAACATTCCGTATTGTTTGCACATACATTATAAAATCATATTTTTAGATAATATTCGAACTTGAATTAAATAATCAATGATATATTTTTTATTACTACTGTTTTTATAATTTGTATTTTCTTTGGATGTGTAACAATTCTCTCATTATTACGAACTCTAGGACTTACGAACAAAATTCTAAAAGCTCTAACTTGTTACAAGGAGATATATAGCAATAAAAAAATGAAGATATACTAACTGTTTTTTTTGTTGCATTTGTTTCTTTTGTCTACATTGAAAAGTATTTGTAAGTATTTTGTTTATTTTAATAAATATTTTAAATGTATGCAGTCAGTAATACGGAATTTAACATATATAAAAGAAAAAACCATATTTTGAAACTTTTAAAATTCCCCCGACTTACAAACAAATTCGACTTATGAACACCCCTTTGGAATGGAACTAGTTTGTAAGTCTATACTTATATAAATGTAACCGTATTCAAATTATTTGGATAGTATTATACAATCATAACAATTACATGTTAAAAAATAAATAAATGGGCAAAATTATGATCATTAGTCCTTGATTTATATGTGTTTTAATTTTATATTTTGTAAAGTGTTAGTCTTATAATAAATATTATTATTATATATAAATATTAAAATTGTAAAATTTAATAGATTTTTTTTAACGTAATGATTGATTAGATATTAACTATTATAATAATATGATAATTCCACTAATAAGCTTAATTAATATTGTAACGTTGAAACTTATCAGGGAGCGAGGGCAGTGTTTAATATGATATACACGTTCTGTACCAGGCGCATCCACCATATTATATGCAACACTTACCACAAGGTCACAAAATCGATCAAAATATAATTCCATTGAAAAGCGAAATCTGATAATGATTATATAATTAAACTAGACAATTTAATAACCTATCGCAAGAAGTCTACTATCGATAAAACTTTAGATCTACTTTTGATTTTAGTTTGTGTGTTTTATTAAGATATTTATTGCTATTATCAGGTATTAATTATTATAAATATTCATATAAAATGATTAAATTTCTCAAAATTGATTTGTGCATTTGATTTCTTTAGGTGGTGGCGCAATGTTTCTTTGATTCGTTGATGTAATAATTGTGTATGAATATAAAAGGCATTAATATTCAGTATAGTCAAGAGTTAAATTAGGCACAGGGGAATTTCGGTCCTCAAACAATTCGGTTCTCGAACGAAAATTGAGCTATTATGTTCAACACGTTTTTCACTTACTTTTGCATTTTCATCTATTTCTTGTGTTTAAATAGTTGCAGTTTTCGAACAACCTATACAAAACTAAATATGTTCAATAACAGATGTTAAACTATAAAAGGTTGATTGATTATCTATGTTTATTAACTATTGACTAGTACCGATTATTGAAATATTAATAACAAAAATATGTTTGTGAAACTCCTACACAGAAAATATTAGTTCATAATCGCAAAGAAAAAAAGATTAAATTGTATGTGAAAACAGTTTCCGTTTCAATTTCCAGATTCATCCATCTACATAATGAATGAACGGTGATGAAATATAACAGAGTGGGGGCGAGTGGATGAAATGAGATTGAAATGTAATTATATCTTCGTTAAAACATTAATAAAAAAACAAATAACTATGTTTTCTTTGACCATTATATTTGCTTCGAATCTTAACAAAATTATTAAAATTCTAGATCTGAATTCTACTTAAAGGATAAATAATAAAAGTGATAAATTGCTCAATATTTATAGATAAATGATGTTAAATATACGTTAGGAGATTTTGAGCAATATAATATTGATAATAATAAAAACGGTGATGTAATAATGTGATGATATAATGAGCATGTAATATTAACATTTACAACCTTAACAAAAGTGAACACCGTTCAATGCCGGCGGGTTTTGGGTTCGCCTGTGCGTATGTATGCATACGTTCATGTAAATACCAGAGACCGGCTAATAATATTCGATATTTTAACATGTAATGAATTTGTAAAGTTCATTTTCCACATATTTCAATATAAAATATTCAGCCGCGAGCTACTGCACAACTGAAACGCCCTCCAACACCCCACCGATTCTCCGCCGTCCACCCTCAAACCCTTATCCTGCATCCACGCATCGTCCGAATCGCAGATAAAAAGGGCGCGCACCCTTTTTCTTTTCAACCAGGACCAACCGGGATGTTCTTCCTACCTACATCTTTTTTTTTTATTATTAAAAAATGCGCGCGCGTTCGTATATATGTATATATATATACAATTTTTTTTTGCACTCTTCTCGTACGCTCTCGAATTAATTTCCTGCATATTTAAAACTGTAAATTATGGATTCGCTAATCCACTTAGCGCGCACCGAAGTTTCGGATTAATTAATTAGATTACATTTTACATAAGCCTTCGAAAGAAACCGCGTGTCGATGTTTTTGTTCGACGCTGGAAAAGAAAAACTGCATTTAACAGTGAATGCGAAACCAAATCTTTCATTTCAAGTACAGATTAACGTTTAATAAATGCATTTTTCATTTGCAAAATCTATAATATACATATTTACATCTAAACGTTTTTGGGATTACGTTATGTAATGCAATTAGTAAAATTTGAATTGAAACAAATAATTAAGAATGTTTAAACATAGTAACACCTCACTCAATAAGTTTGAAGGATGGCATATACATAGAGCCTTTATCGAAAAATCCAATCTTTTGGATGTATTCACCATTTTGCATGAACATTTGATCATGAGACAGCTTTGTTCGAAATGGGTACCTCGTTCAAACTCAAATATGGCATATGGTATGTAACGATGGATGAAACCTGAATCCACCACTATACTGAAGAGTTAAATCGGTCATCTGAGCTGAGTGGACAGCAAAGGTTGAAAACCATATTTTGAGGCCAAAGATAAATGGTTCTACAAGAAAGGTATCGAAATATTAGAGAAGCGTTGGTATGATTCTGTCACTCTTCAAGGAGACTATGTTCATCAATAAAGACGAATATTGCCCAAAAGTTGTTGTTTTATTGGTCAACTTACGAACTTATTGAGTGAGGTGAGGTGTTAATTGCTTTAAATATTAATTTTCTTCACATTTTAATTACAGTAATCTTGAGTTGAAACGTTGAGCGGTAACCCGACAAAAGCGCGCAATAAAACAACAACATCAAATGCACATAAATTATATTGCATTTCCATATTCCATATTCACTCAAGTGCATTAGGTTACTAACCGGTAGAGTTTGTTTTTTTAATGTACATACAAAATTTCATGCATTTGACGTGGTTGTTTTATTGCTCGCTTTTGTTACATTGCCGTTTTGAGCAAATTAACCAACCTTCACGTAAGATGAATCACGATCTTCCTAACATCTTACTTTAGTTCTTCATTTCGGTTTGGCAGATCTTCACATTTGACCTCATTATCCAACCAATAAATTGATTACAATTTTGCTGGTTGCGTTTTTCGAGAAATGAACCATAATAAATTTTGAATGATATGGATGAATGGATGAGAATTCAGAGTTTAAAATACTGGATTTATTACCATAGACCAAGAAAATTTGAAAATATTTGATTGAAACTAGTTTGCAAAAATTACGAATTACAACATCGAAATATGGACAATATACACAAAATGTAGATGAGATGCCAATTTATATCTTATCTAAATTTAATAGTTAGAAGATTTCCTGAAATTCATAAATTGTTGTAATTTTAAGCATTTTGAACTAAGTCGAATGGATTTAAGCTCTTTCATATTTTATAACAAATTTAATTGTTAATTTTCAAAGTAGTTGAACTCCACTTGTAGTAAGAAAACGTTTATTTTTCATTTATTTATTTTGAGTAAATATTTTCTGATTTATTTATAGTTGTTTT